GGGTGGATCTGCAAGTGACCAGGGCTCATGGGCAGCCACAAGCACTGCTCTATCCTGCCTTTCAGATGTGTGCAGCAGAGACAGCATCAAATGATGGACCATAAGCACAACACCAAGTGACAGCCTTCCTACAGAAGGATTTTGTGCTCACCCAGGGAGGTCTCTGCTTGCATTGGAGAGTGACTGTCGTGGGGCTCACCAGAAGCCTTCCAAGGACAGGAGAGCTAAGTTCTGGAGTGTTCCCATGCCAAGTAAAGGACTGTCTTTAACCACAGCACACCCCCAGTCTCCTCATTCCCTCCTGAGCAGCCTTTTCCTCCCGCTGCAGCTCCTGGCACCCACCATGCCCTGGGGCTGCTCACTTCCACCCTGCAAACGTGATGATGCCTGAACCGTAGCCAGCCCCAGGACACCTTGTGCATCCAAGCTCAATGCAAGGAGGAGGGAAATCATACATCTAAAAAAATTAAATGAGAAGGATGACTCTTCCATCCAAAGTCAAACTGATCCTAACTGTCAAGCTCACACTAACCCTCTGTGGCAACTTTGCCATCCAAAAAGCCCCAAGCACAACTGCAGCCAGCCAAGAATTACTTGGTGGGGGATGTTTTACCTAGCAAGTCATGACAACCTGTGTCCTGAACAGCTCATGTGACCCAAACCTGGATGTTTTTTCCTTCTGTACTCTGCCTTGAAGATAAGATTACCACCCTGTCTTCCTGCCTCGTCCCCAAGGAGGTGCTGGGTCAAGTGTCACAGAGCCCAGATCAGCAACAGGCTTGCACTCCCCTCTTGCAGTATCGGTAAACTCAAGGAAACCTTCCACCTGACACCTGCCTCTGGCTCCAGGGAAACAGAGTCCTACCCTACAGAATTACTTTGGTTGATGCAGGAGTAGGATAATCCTGCAGGCATGAAAGGATCACAGTACTTTGGTTTGGCACAAACATGAGGCAGTGACCAAGAACTCTGCCTTCCCCAGTTTCATGTCACCTTTCTGCTACCCTCTGCCCCAGAAGCAGCTGCACTTCTGCAATGGGCAGGGCCACAATGAGAGCTGTCTTTGCCTTCTCGCTTCCTCTTCTTGCCATGCAGTTGCCCAGTGAGCTTCCTCGAGGATACCACACTTGGGGGAACCACTGAGCCTTCTCACAGCTGCTCTTCATGCAAAAAACCTTCGCATGGGGCAGCGTTAAGGCAGGAGACCATAAGCTCCAGCACAGGGGACAATGAGCCACTCGCTGCAATGAGCACTGCTTAGATGGACCACTGTCATGACTGTACAAGTACTCATGACATGCACAAGTACTCTTGGGGAGTGGGGAGGGAGCCTATTTTCACAGCAAATAAGCCTTAATGAGCAGAGAAATAACCTCAGCATGCTGCAGATTTACAGAGCTCTGACAGGCATGTCCAGCCTTGCAAGGGAGGAAACACTTCATTGCAAAGCAGCACCAGGGAGCAACAGTTGGGGCAGAACAGAAAGGGGTGCTGAGAAAGTGCATCTTTCCCAAAGGTTTGAGAGCAGGGGAAAGAGCAAAGCATTGCACGGAGGAATGAAAGTGAAGGAGGATGCTGCAGAGCTGGATGGGCTCTATAGGAGCAGGATGAGGTCTCCACTGCACAATTAGAACACATCCACACAGCGCCCAGATTGCCTCACAGAGGGGAAACTAAGGCACGGAGCAATACAGAGCCAAGCAGCGTTTCCCCAGGCCAAGGCACCCCTGTGCTGGGAAAAAGGGAACTTCAGAACTCAATATTGGCCTCTGTGCCTCGCGAGACAGTTGCCAGCAGAAATCTCTGTTGTTTAATACTGGCTCAAGCGCGCACGGCAGCCTTCCCAGAGCCTCGGAGGGAGCTTTGCCATGGGAACTGCTGCCGAGCCATCTCCTATTAGAAGTTACTACAGCTCTGCCAGGAAGCTGCCCCGCGCCTTCTATTTTTAGCTGCAGGCAGACCTGTTCATATCAGTCACTGCTGAAACGCAGGTCCTCACACACACGTTTGGTGCAGTAATTCAGGGCCACAAAGTCAGTTCCTCAGCTCTGAGCACAGCTCGCCAAGAGAAATAACAAACCCACGAGCTGAGCGCTCCCAGCCCGGGACGACGCAGCAGGGCTGAAGGCGCCCCCATCACACACATTTATCGCACAAGATCACACCACTACCTACGTGTGGTGCAAGCACTGGCCTGGATGTGATTCACCAGCTCAGGGTCATAAAACGCAAGGGAAGCAGGAGAAATGGGATGGGAGAGAGGAAGGGTCCTGGGGGAATAAACAGATTCACAAAGCTCCAAACTCGTGTTTGTTCTCCTGCTTGCTAATTAATCCACCTTAAAACGCTTTTAGAAGAGAAGTGCTTCATTTGTTTAAAACAGGACAAATGAAAGTGATGTCTCCTTTTACAGCTACCCACTGTATACATACGGAGAGCAAATCCCAGTGGTCCAAAGTTATGTGACTAAACCAATGCAGGGAGAAGATGCAGACATTTGGTGATGGAGCTCCCAATCAGTCCAACCTTGTTCTATGGCACTTCATCCCACTTCCTTCTCTCCCATGCACAATAATGCCTGCCAAACCTAAAAGACCCCAGTTAACTTTCCGGAGCTCCCAGCAGAAGCTCTTGCACTGGAGGAAACATGAGAACCACAGTGCTGCTCTTCATAGGCCTTCAGACCCCCTGTTTGCAGTGCGGAGTCCCCTGGAGATGTGCAGTTGGTGACAAGATGTTGGTTGGTTACCAGCCTTTCTCCTTCTCTTCCCCATTGTTTTCTGAGTGACAAAGCAGAACATGTAAATGCTCCCAAGTGTTCCTAACTATAACTCTGTGCCTGGAGAGACTTAACTCAGAAATCTGTTGTCTGATTTGATCCAAATTTTGCAGAAAATACTACCTGGAGCTTTGCTATTTGGGAACTGATGCAGGTTGTTTTTCTTGCTACACTCGGACAAAGGAAATCTGAGTTTGTGCTCAGCCCACAGACAGCTCTTCTCCCTGCAGTGGAACAGGAGGAGAGGTTCAGCCAGAAAGTGCCAGTCCAGCTGACAGACGTTCACGGCCAACATCTGTGGGTTTAATCTCAACAGAGGCAGCAGAAGGCTGTCCCCTGCTCTCACAGCTGCTTTACTACCTGCCACAGCCCTGGGTCCCACAGCATCATGCTGATGGCAGCCCCAGCCCTGCTAACCCCAGGTGCTAACACAGGAGATGGAACAAATGGACAAATGCTCCTTCTCCCATCCATACATTTTCTAGGAGGGGCACCAACAAATAAATGAACAACAAAGGCCCGAAAACAAAGCAATAAAGAGCATGAGCATATTAAGACATTTTCTCTCCCCAGTTTATGCTTCAGCTGCTACCTTGAGACTGGCACAGAAACCAACTTGCCGTTCACTCCGCACAGCTCCTGGGATCTGTGTGGCACACTTTCTGCTTGGGTACATTCACTTCTGGAGGCCATTAGGCAGGGTAATTTCACCAGTTCCTGAGCAAATGCCTGCAGGGGTCTTTGCAAAGCCAGTTCAGCACAGCTGAAATATGGAAGAAATGTTCATTTGAATCCTAAAGAGAGATGTAATGACTGCTTTATAGTAAAGCACATTAAAATCAGCCCCATTTTGGCTGATCGAGGCACACCATCAGCACTCTCCAAGAAGAAGAAATATTTCTGATCCAGCAAGTGAGCTTAACACCTTTATGGAAGAGTTTTCATCAACTGACAACACCCAGCTTGCAAAGAATTAGCTCACAGCACCATTCAGGCCCAGATTTAAAGAAACAAGTGCATTTAATCTATGCTTTTTCTTTCATTTTTTCCCCTTTTTTTTCCTCTGGAACAGTACTTGGAGTTTGCTGGGCCCTGCTATGCTTAGATGCCATCTGGATGAACACATCAGCTGAGGTTTGCCCTGCCAATTTGCTCTGCTGATGGCAACCTGTTTGTGCGCTGGTGCGTTGATGCCTGGGGTGCTGTGTCCTGACCAGGAGTGAAATGAAAATGGGGAGGAGAAGACATTCTTTACCGGAGCCAAATGAGAAACTCAAGCAAATCACTGTGGGTTCACTGGCAATTTACAAACACAGGAGAAACAGTGGTGGGATATTTGTAATAGCATACAGAAGGATGGAGGAGGTACAGGAGACAGACTGCAACTCACCTCCTTCACACCTGCTCCATTGCACAGCCACAAAGACATCCTTCCTCTTGCCCCATCTCTCATCTTAAACCACAGCTTTGTCACCTGTGTCAAAAAATACATTAGAGGGAAAGAGGTAGCAGACAAGGTGATAGAAACTGTTTTTTCAACAAGAAAACTTGTGAACGTACAATGCACACTGTGTTCTGTTAGAGTCTGGGGACCTGAGGGCATTAATTACAAGCTAGGTAGACAGAGTTTCCACCAGAAACATGCAGAAGATGTTTGTAGAGTGGATCAGTGCTATACGATATACATCAGTAAGGGAAAGGAAAATATACATCAGTAAGGTCAGTCCTCCCCATTGCTGCTGGATGGGGACAAAGCCTCATCCTTGGCAGCTGTGAGCACTTGCCTGTACTCATCTGTGTGTGCACTCCTGTGTATGGGATGGCACAGAGACATAAAGCTAGCAATAAATTATATATTATCAAACACTTGCCCTGAAACACGCTTGTGCTCATGCAAAACATATGCCAGAAGGAAGCCAACACCAAGAAATAAGCCTCCTTTGGCAGCAGTATGGAATGTGGGTCTGGCTCCTGCAGGCTCTCCCCAGCACAGGGTGACCACCCCCAGATAGAGCACCCCTTGTGTACCATCATCACGGCAAAGAAGAGCTGGACTGAACATCCCTGCAGATGAATTTGTTCCACCAAAGCAAACCCAATATGTGCGTTTCAACTAGTCCCCTCCAGAAGGGTGGTTCCTTTGCTGCCTGCCCCAGACTGATCCCAAGCAAGCTTCAACACGTACCAGAAAGCAGTCAAGCAAAGGAGGATCTGGACCCTGGCTCTCACGTCCTCTCCCAGGTACCAGCACTGCACCACTATCATCCCATGTCTCAAAGTCCCAGCGTGGAGAGGCTGCGACTAGGAAGAAGGAGAATTCAGCTTCAATTTGCAGCTTCAAGGACAGTGATGTGGCAGATTTCCCTTTAGTGACTCCCACCTGGTGTCCCTTGATTAAGGGAGATGGGCTACCCGATCTACTGGGTTTTTAATCTCTGGCACCAACAAGCTTCTGATACTGCTTGCACTATTTTTGTCTCATTTTTAACCAACCAGAGCCCTCAAGTTGTTTCTCATATCAAACTCTCCCAGTCAATCTGATTTTCAGAAAACATAGCATGTCTGGGGAGAAACCTTTAAAAAATAGAGCACATTCTCCATTTGCATCTGAATGCTGAAAAACCCCATTGCTCCTCTATGATACATCGTATCAGTGCCACCCCTGCCATGAAATATTCATGGCCATTTATTATGATGTTCTCTGTTATCCATGTAGAACCCTCTGACGATCAGTGTCTCTATTTGCCCAGCCTCCAGCCTGGATCCGTGCTCCCGTCCCTCCTCCAGCACTGGCGGGGTTTGCATTCATCCCCATCCCAGTCAGCATTTGGGCCAGCACCGCTGCGCTCCAGGGACTCGGTGCATCCTGCTTCCCACTCCATGGCGTCAGCAGGGACTGGCAGGGCAACCAGGACACACTCTGCCTGCTTTAAGTTGCAGGAAAGGAATGAAGTTAAAGCCAAGATCGACTTCCTGAGCCCAGTGTGATGGCGCATAGACGGTATGTGACGCAGAGTGGGCCTTTAGAGCTGGCCATATAACAGTCCCATCCTGCAGACCTTTTATTTCTTCTGCAGGAGCTTGCTAGACCTGCCTGTTACGTACAGAGGGGAGTAAAAAAGATCTACGAGGACACTGAGCTCTGCTTTCATAGAGGCTGCAAAGCTGAATCTCATTGAGGTGACCTTGATACAACCTCTTGTTTCAACACAGCAAACAGTTCTGCACCGAACAAACTGCTGCAAGAGGATTCGGGCTCCTCGCTTGCCAATATCTTGGCACTGCTTTTCCCCAGAGCAGTGCCTTCCATCAGTCTCGGAAAAATAAATAAATCTACTTTCCACATCATTTCATCTTCTGATAACAGTAATGAACTCAGTCCAAGGCATTACTGGGAATTAATGACTGGCTGCCTCCTGACTCACCAGCTCTTCCCAGGCTACCATAAATTCCCAGGAACCCTCATGAGCCACGCACCAAGCTGAAAATAAAGCAATTGTGCAAAGCCTTGGGACAGATATACAACACGCTGCCCCATGGGAGGCTCGGGAACTGAGATGGGCTCAGAGGTGCCCACCGGCAGCAATGCCAGAGCTGCCTGAGCTGCATCACTTCTGCAAAATAAGTTGAAAACAGCAGACGTCACCCTCAGAGAGCTGCTCCTCTGGATAATTAAACTCACGTTGCATGTATACCTTTAACCTTTCTTCTGGCTAACTCTCCAGTCTCACCGCGCTCTTGTCTAAGAGATTAAAGATCTCCCAGAAGCCCCCCCTGGATGTAGGTAATTCTGGACCATTATCACATCACCTCTAACCCACTCTTAATAAACTAAAAGAAGATGCTCATTACCGAAGCCAAGCCGGCAGCTCATACCTGCTTGGCAATTAGCAAGCAGGGCACCTCCCACACACAGGGCTGCTCAGGTCTGTCCCTCCAGCTCACACTGCTTCTGTGGGGAGAAGAAGAGTTAACAGCATTGGCACATTCACACAGTTATTGGAATATCTCGATTTCTTGCTCTTGCAGTTGCAAATGTAAATTTGGATGTAACCAGCTCCAGTAATTAGATTTAATGACTAAAGAGCATTTTGAGATGGTGCAATTCATGAAGTTCTCCATCAGAAAGGATGGATTAGATTTGTTTCTTTTTTTTTTGAAAAAATATGAATTTCTGTCATCATCTAAGCACTGAACATGTTATCTTAGCTGTTAGTCTCAAGAAATTTAACAGAATTAGCACACGATTGTTAGCACTTATTAAGTGCAGCCCATGCGCAGATTTTTATGCACCAGAGCATTCAGTTGACAGAAGAGACAAAGAGGGGTATGGCTGATATTGGAATACATTTTAATTTGGGGAAAATATAGCTGCTACATTAAACCAAGAGGCTGAGCAGTTCCACGCCAGCCCGTAGCTACATTCATTTCCCGTTGGGTCTCAATTTAGCTGGAGTCACGCATCCAAACGACCCAGGCTCCAAGGACAATCACTGTAACGTACAGCCCAGCACAGGAAGGAGATTCGTCTCATGATGGATTATCCCCAGGCACGAGCAGCACGATGCTGCAGGTGCTTTAAGAAGACGAGCTCTGAAAACCAATCCTGCACTACAGATTTGTCCTTCTCCCCCCACAGGCACTGACCCTGTCCTTGGGCAGCTTGGGGCAGAGGGGGAAGTCGAGGTCCTGGGGCAGCGGTAATTAGGAGCACCCAGGCCCCTTAGGGAGCTGGATGACAGTGCTGCAGAGGCACCCCTGTCTGCCTGTCCAGGAGTTGTGTCCCTCCAGGTCTTTAATTAAGGCAGTCTGGGCTTCTCGAGCGATGGAGTGTGAAAGCAGCACCTCATAAAAACGTCCCAGCCCCAATAACACTTCTAAATCAGTTTCTTGGGACGCAGCTGCAGTACGCCACATGGAGAAGCCATGGCAGCAAGGGGAAGGTTTTACGGGCTCTTAATTATGAGGTCTGGCACAAGTCTCTGGAGGTGGTACTCTGGAAAGCAGTGGGGAGGAGAGCTCAGCACCATGCCAGCTCTCGTAACAGCTCCCACACCTCCCCAGCTGCAGAGGGAGAGGAAAGGGCAGAGGCTTTAGGTCACCAGCAAACGGGGGAGCTGGAGAGAAGCAACCAGCTCATGGCAGGGGTTGGGGCTGGATGGACTCTAAGGTTCCTTCCGACCCAACCATTCTGTGATTCTGTGAAGTGAACAAATCCCCAGACAGGGAACCTCACGATTAAGGGCTGTTTAACCCAGCTGAATCCCTGCCTGCAAGATCAAAGGCTGCAGCTGGAAGGCTGGATGCGTTCAGAAAGACATGGTTAATTGTGAGAGCAATTAGCCTCTGCAAGAATTGGATTCGCCGTGCCTGGAAGTGTTTAAGTCTCAGTGGAGATCCTTCTGAAAGATACGCTTGTGTTTGGCTGGGATGGATGAGCTTGATACAGGAGCAGCCCACTTTATGCAAGAAGTCAGAAGAGATGAACAGAATGGTCCTTTGAGCCAGAAAATCTCTAAAATCTATGAAACTATTAATAGAGAGTGAGACATTTCCAGTGGGTTTGACAGCTAGATGACAAATCTGTGTTAAATTCCACAGGATCCAAAGAAACTCTGCTTGGCCTCATTTTCCAATATTCTCCAAGGGGTTTCCCAACAGGGGAATTTTAGTTTTCTTTTTTTAAACTTTAAAATGATATTCCAAACTGGAAAACTTCTCCACCTCCACTCCCCTTACCTTCCTCTGCTCCTCCATCTCCTCCTGCATCTCAGCAAGTACCCACGTGTCCCCACGTGTGGGTGAAGAAAACACAAGCTGTGCTGCCCACCAGCCCTGGAGCCAGCTCCCCACGGCAGCCCCCAGTGCACAGCCCCCTTCAGTTCCACACTGAACTCTGCTCACCTCTGCGGCTTCTGCAAGCCACCATCACACCTCATTGCCAAGTTACTCAAACCGGACTGGAGAAGGAGCTCACTTGCACACTCCCACCACAGAGCAACCTCAGAGCCACGATACGATCCCGTGGGTATGTCCCATTGCACCCAGAATAGCTCAGTTTATCAGTGCTTTCCTATCAGTATTGCTCTTTCAGCTCTGTCGTGAAGCTTTATCCTCCCAAATTCAGCCTGGCACAGCAGCTCTCGGTATCCTCTGCTGGGGACATGCTTTCGTACTGCCTCGCTGCCTGCTCTCTCATCTCCCTCAAACAGAACAAGCGGTCACAAGGCTCATTACATGATGCAAGTGATTAAGAATTAATAACTTCTTCTAAGGCCAATCATTTCAGCTGAGACCGCTATGAGTTTATTATTTTATATGTATGTTTTGAGAAATATGACATAATTGAAAATGTAGTATTACTCCCAATTGTTCATCATTTTCCACTGAACTTACACACATGCCACCACACACAAAAACCTCACTCAAGCAAGCTGCATCCTCACTCCCAAGCCTTCATTTGTCATGCTTGCTTTAACTCTTCAGGGAACTCTGAGTTACGAGTTCGTACAGTGCCAAGATAACAGGCAAAAAGCAAACAGAGATGAGAATAGCAATACCTTATTTGCTGGCAAGATTACAGTCGTGTGAGATCACATCTGTTCCTTCAGCAAGACCTGGGTGGAAAAAGCAGATTTAATCCTAATAGCTACCTTTTACCAACTAAAGGAAGGCTGTAAGTAAGAAGGGGACAGACTCTTTAGCGGGGAGGGAAAACGGTTTCAAACTAAAAGAGATTTAGACTTGTTATAAAGGAAAAAGCTTTTACAATCAAGGTGGTGAGGCACTGGCACAGGTTGTCCAGAGAGGTGGTGGTGCCCCATCCCTGGAGAAAAACCAAGGTCAGGCTGGATGGGGCTCTGAGCACCTGATGGAGCTGTAGGTGCCCCTGCTCGTTGCAGGGGGGTTGGAGTGATGGCCTTTAAGGGTCACTTCCAACTCAAACAATTCTATGAATCATAACAGCACTAACAATGAGAGTAGACCTAAAATGTAACCAGATGAAGAAATAAACCAGATGAAGAAATAAACCAGATGAAGAAATACATAAGCGTCCAAATTACTCAAAGAGGAGCAACTTGCAGAAGGATCCCCAGCTTCTTTCTCTTGGACATTTCTTTTGAAGATGACACTCTTCCTTCTCTCAGAAGGAACTTCCCTTGTGAGCATCCTCCATGCACCACTCTGTGTCACACGACGGGGCTGATGGGAAGGGATTCTCTGTGGCAGAGAGCTGGATTTCAGACACAGCCAGAGAGGATGCATTCTGGAGCCAGAAGATCAGTGAGATGTGGGGAGATCCCCCAGCACAACAACAAGGCTCGAGGTTCTCGGATGTCAGATCACTGCTGGGAGAGCTCTCAGCACCTGTTACTCTCTATTCACAACCATCCTCATGATGGAACAAAGCCTTCAGGAGCAGAGGACCTTTGGCAGCTCCACTTGCAGGTTGCGGTTGGCACATACACGTGGCTGTGCCGGATGCCTAGGACACAAAAAGAGTAAACACCACAAAGCTGTCTCCCTGCGTGCCACAGAACAGCTCTATCAGCCAGGTCTGCTCTGCCCTGGCCCTGGAGCTGCTTTGCAGTGCCCCAGGTGCTGCAGCATTAAATCACTTTGCAAAGGCAGAGCTGTGCCTGGAAGTGTAAACAGGACCTGAGGGACGTGACAGCAGGAGGAAAGAGTTGGTTAGTGCCTAAGCCTGCAGCACCCTGTGTCCAAATGCCAGAAGCTTCTGCAGCACTTTGCTGACCACAGTTCCTCCGAGCACTGGGTGGTGCAAGATTAGCATGTAAGGATTATAAATGTGATAGAAAGGTACTCAAATGGCCAGCCCCAGCAGCTCTGGTGCAGGTCTCTGGGCAGAGCTGGAGCTCCAGGACACAGAGCTCATGCCCACATGAGCTCATCACTTATCTCTCTGCTAAACTTCTTTCTCTGTACTGCAGAGGTAGCACAGGGCAAATGTCGAGTCCTGAGGCACGTCATGGAGCAGTCCAAGGCAGGAGAGGGTTGGGACAGAGCTCCTGCCTTCAGAAGTCCCTCAGCTCGGCCGAGCAGCCCTCGTTCCCTCGGCTCTTTGCGTTCAGTACCTTCTATGCGCACTCACCACCCAGAGGGTCGGCCTGTCACTCTCCATCTCCTCTCCCTCCCAAACACTCCATTACGCAGATGGAAAACCGCGGAGCTGCCAGGCATTCTCCCCTTGCCTACAACCAAGCCAGCAGTGCTGCCCTCTGGGGGCCTCGCCTTCCTCCTGCAGGAGATGGGTTTTGGCAGCACGGGGAGTTTCTCTCTCTTCCTTCGCAGGATCCATTTGTGCCCCGAGGAAGAGCAGAGAGGAGATGCCCACCAAATCCACACCCACATGCAGCTCCCCTGGTCCCAGCATCTCCTGTAGGATGCAGTAATGCCATTCCCATGCCCTAAGAAAGACAAACACCCTTGTTCTTCCTCTGAAAAGCTGAAGTAGCCCAACAGACAGCAGCCATACCTCTGGCTTTGCCCATGAGGAGCTGTCTGATATTCACAGAGCTGCTCTTAGGCAGCAAAGCTTTTTTTTTATTCTTTTTCCTTCCCCCTCCTTCCTACTCGTGCCTACTCTTGGTTCCCAAGCACTGAGCACAACCAAATGTCTGCAGGGGGGGCCAGGCTGCAGCTGGTACAAATCAACACAGCCATGCTGATTCAGAGTGACCGAGCATCTGATACGAATCCTCCTGCATCAACAACACATTCTTGGTGACTACTGGCACTGCAGAAGAGGAAACTGCACAGAAAGACCCTTCCGTCACATTCGATCCCTCATCCCTCCCCACACAGCACAAGCCCTGGAGCCCAGCAGCCAGCCTTGCCCACCAATCCCAGCCAACTCAAGGGCTGACTGAACCCTGGGAAAGGCAGAAGCACAGCACCCTGTTTCAAAGACATCAAGGCATTTGGGAGCCTGAGCTCGCAAGGAAAATGCGTAAAAGCTCCTGTGTGCCAGGAGATTCATGTAAATCAGGGCATCCCCAGGCAGATCCTCCTTGTCCTTCTTCTCCTGCAGCGGTGGAGAGGGGTGGTGGAGGTCAGGCCTTTGAAGCCAGAGGACAGTAAATCCATGTGGCACTCACTCTATTGTCTGAAGATTCATGGCTTTGTTCCCTGAAGGTCAGCTCCATCTGTTCTATTCAATTAAGGATAATCTATGACTTTTCCCTCTGCACCCTCCCTGGCCGTATGCTCCTTGTCAGCAGGAGACCATTGGTCAAAGAGAAGCCAGAAATGCTCAGTGTCCCAGAGAGAGGCAGGGAGAAGAGCAGGATGAGGCAGAGAGCTCTTCATCTCACAGTGGGCTCCCAAGTATCCTGCTTCCCTAAAAGGCTGAGGCAGAGAGAACAGTCTCCAGAGTGATGTAAATGCCCAGAAACCATCTGTAACTTGGGACAGCAGAGAACCCTTCTGCTCCCACAGCACTGCTCACACAGGTATCTATCCAGCACCCAAGCCTCTTTGCTCTCTCCATTATTATAGTATCATTTAGATTGGAAAGCACCACTAGATCACAACATCCAACCATCACCCCATCTCCACTAAACCATGTCCACAAATACCATATCCAGATGTCTCTTGAACACCTCCAAGGGACAGTGACTCTACCACCTCCCTGAACAGCCTGTTTCAATATCCCTCCAAGAAGGGCTTTTTCCTAGTAACCAACCTGAACCTCCCCTGGTGCAACAAAGCCATTACCTCTGGTCCTTGGATCCAGTGCTACCAAATAGGAGAGGTGGTTACCTGGGCCATGCCTCCACATGGTACCCCTCGTGGGCTGCCTTACGTAGGGCAGAAACTAGAATCCAGGTCACATTTTCCCTCCACGTTTTCTACGGGACAAAAAGAAAGAGAAAGTAGAAGAATGTTTAGTCTTCCTATTTGTCCTCATTTGCTTTGCTAGCTAGCTTTGTTTGTCTGCTTTGTTTTTGAGCAGCCCTCAAGGCTGTGATTTGGAGAGAGGGTTTCATCAAGCAAAAGAAGGTACAGAGATGAGTTAATGAGAACGATTATTCAGTGACAGCTGCTGCCGTTCACCTCCTAACAAGCGTAAGGCAGTGCCTTGCTAAAACAAGGCTTCCTCTGGTGATTATGTGCAGGGGGATTAACTTTGAAAACTTTGCTCAAGACCTGCAGTGATGTTATTGGAAATCCACTCAATGAGCAGACAAGCACAGGGGAAGCGGACCGTGTTTGAAGTGCGCCTGCTGTGAGCAGGCACAGCCTGGGGATGGATTGCGGGCACAGCAGAGGTGCACAGTTCCCTTCTCTGCCACCCCAGGATGTACAGCTGAGGGTATGACCCACCTGGGGCTCAGCAAGGCACAGTCTATCTGCAAAAGAATTTTCTCCCCCGCGTGCCGCAGCCCACAAATCAAGCCCTCCATCTCCTGCCCAGACACCCCACGGCTGGGCTGCGAGCTCCTGCAATGAATGCTGGCTGTTCCTCACTGCCATCTCCCCCACAACTACAGTCAGCTCCAATAATGATTATATCTGCATCCATGCCTGAGAACAGCTCTTCCTCAGCTCTTCCACATGGGGATGAGATGCCTAAGCTTGGCACATAGCGCCTGCCATTTAACATCCCCATCAAGCCACAGGGAAACCAAATGGAGCAGAAAACTGGCCCAGGAGCTGTGCTTTCCTTCCAAACTGGCACCCACTGAACACAGGACCCCTCTCCATTCTCACTTTGGCAGCCCAAGCAGCTCCATGCCCAGATTGGCACTGGCAAGAAGCAGTGCCCAGCGTGGTGCTTTCACCTGTGCTGCTGCTGCTGCTGCAGCATCACACACACACAGAAACCCCAGCTCCTGGGGACTTAGCCCTGCAGCATCACCCCCAGGCTCAGCTGCCTCCAGACCCAGCATCGCAGCCCTGCTACAAGCTCAGACAGATGGTGAGCAAGCCCCACTCCATCTCCTGTGGCTGTTTGGCCATTACAGAGAGCTGCACTCAAATTTGTCTGGCAGGTATCCATACCCCACATGCAAACATTTTGGCAGGGAGAAGCCACAAGCTGAGTAGGTGAGACTGCGCTCCTCATCAGAGCGGGAAGGCAGGTCTTCCCACCACAGCTCCTGGGAGATCTTCTCCTGGAAGCACCAACCTCTCCCTCCACTGGCTCAGTTGCATTTCAGACATTGGTATCCACAGACTCACCACCAGTCCTGACCCTGCTCCATGGGCAGAAATCCCAAAGCAGTGGCTACGGAGTGACTTCCTCCTATGAATCCCTTCTCCTTAACTCTCAGCTGTCCCACCTCCCCTACTATCCGCTCTGTTTCCTCCTGATGATCAGGCAGCAGCTGCAATACATCAACCCTTTCACCAACACTGATTTTCTACTCTTAGAAGACCTGCAGGGGTCCTACTGCCACCTCTGCAAACCAAAAGCATATATTTCTCTTATGCAAAGCAGGGGGCTGGAGCTTGATGATCTGCAAGGTCCCTTCCAATCTAAGCTGTTCAATGATTTCACAATTCTTTGAATAGTGCAGCAGTCCTCATGGCAGTAAAACTCCCACCACTGGTCTGCACCGTTCTGCTTCCAGAGAAAAGGAAGGAGCAGGGTTTTTAAGCTCCCATGGGATGAGAAAACCATTGTGGGCTCCTCCACACACTCAAATCACATCGTTCACACATTTAGGGCCAGAGGGCTGCCAAAAGCAGTGTTCTTAACATGAAATAAGAAGCCTTGACAAATATTTAATTGCATCTCTGCTCACAGGCAATTAGAGGAGTAGGACATAAGGTCTGGTTTTATGTGATGTTTTCTTTTCATTCTTTCTTTCTTTTTCCAGTTTGTAGCTCTTGTACCACAGAAATGTGTCTTGCATTGTAAAGAAGTAGAGGAAGAGCCCTCATAGCATAAGGAGTCTGATCAATACTACTGGGTAGCCAGAGCCAAAAACATGACATAAATGAGCTGGGAATTGGAAGAAAGCAGCAGATATCATTCAAAACCCCAGGGCTGATGAAGCATGAGCTGTGCCTTGCCTTGATGAGCAGCCCTGGTGCAATGGGACTTGTGAGATTGGAGCTTGGAGGGGAGAGCTCATGGGCATCGGTCATATGGGGTGGGTGGAGGTGCAGTGGGAAACTGCATGAGCACTGGCAGGGAAAATTGCATAGCAAGTGCTTTTGCTCCTGCAGAGTTTGTCCTGTCATTGGGGAAATGAGAGGGGGGAGATGCCAAGTGATGGAGAGCGGAGGCTGCACGTGGAAATGGGGGCAGGCACTGGGGTGAGGGCAGGGACAGGGAAATGGGGAGCAGAGGGTCTCTTGCCACTGCAGAGAATGTGGGCAGCGTGGCTGATGGCAGAAGCCTGTCCAAAACGGGATGCAGGAAGGATTTATGAGCACAACTATAATGAAAAGCAGTTATCCATGACCATCTTAAATCTTGTCAGAGGGAGGAGGAGAGGGGCCATCTCCGGTGTGCAGAATAGAAGACTGAACGCTGCTGTTCTGCAGCAGTTGCAAAACGAGACCCTCACAGAAGCAGCTGCTTCACAGGAAGGGGCTGATGCTTCTGGTCTGGGGCTGAGCCGTGGGTGTTGTGCTCAGACTGTGAGGGAGGGGAAGGCAAACAGCACAGGTGTCACTGCAGAGATGCTCAGCATCCCTCCCAGCATCCAGGGAGGGTCAGAGTGCTGCCAGGCTGCTGTAGCCTGAATGCAGGATAGGCTGAAGAACTCACCTCAAAGGCTCAAGAGACAGGGACATCATTCTGATCCTTTTGAATGCATACCAGTGTTGTTCAGCTCCCACAGCTGTGATTAACTCCGCAGCCCTTCCAGCCCACAGTGCTGCTTATCCCAGCCACGGGAAGGAGAAATGCTCCATGCTCTTCCCTGCCCCACGGCAGCTCCCTGGGGCTGGATCCTGAGAAATTTCAGTCCTCTCAACCTCAACATCTCCACCTGGGGTGACGTTTCAGTCCTGAACCCAAGGGCACAAGGGGGCAGGGGAAGAGCCTTCACACTGCCAGCATCCAGCACAGGAGATGCCTGCTTCTGCCTCTGCAACAGAGCAGCTGAGCTGCACTCTCACTGGGAGAGAGAAGCATCAGGTAAAGCCGTGTCTACAGGCACATATGGAAGGGCTGGGATGCTGCCCAAGCTTCGGCTCAAAAAAAGTGCACATCTTATGGTATAAATATTTTGGTTCGCCTCCCCCTCTCCAACCCACGAGCTCCAGCACTGAAACCACAACAGCAGCCCTCAGCACAGCCACTCTGGCACTCGTTTCCCTCCGATCCCCACAGCCACCAGTGTTTACTGCAACACAAGCCTGCGCCACCTGCATTACCCCAGTCCTACCTGTGGCCCCAGAGTGCCTGCACAGACCCACGTGCCCACCTCCGGCGACTCACCTTCCGTGCCTGCCCCAAAAGTTTCTCTGAAGACTCAAGGAAGTGTGATACAAAGATGGTGGTTTGGAAATTTGTTAAAATAGAGAGGAGAGGACATCCCTCAGAGGCTTTCTTCACTGATTTCTTTTGGAACAAGAAAAAGATAAGGAGAGAGCATGTCTAATGAAAGGAAAAAAAAATTAAAAGTAATTTTTCACCAGCGTGTGCTGAATGGTTCTTAGTTCTTGAGCTGGCTGAGAAGAGAGGTGGCTTTGGCTGTGGGTGAGCCATGCACCCCATCCCCCAGCACAGCAGGGATGTGGGAGAGCCCAACAGCAGCAGTGCTCTTCAGAAGCTATAGAAGCTATAGACCCAATGCCTGAGCTTGGGCTCTGTGCTTACCTGGGCAAACATTTGTTTTGTTCTCTAATAGCAAGGCGGATGCGCTATTCCCCTGTGTAAACATCCACTCTCCAGACATAAGCACTTCTGAGCTGTGCTGTTCTGTTCAAACAGCCCCTTTCTAGGTGAAATCTGCTGCATTCTCCTGTGTCAACAGCCTGTGCTGGGGCTGTCCCAGTCTCCTCTAAAACACCTCTTTGGATGGGAACACTCCAAGGGTGGCTGTTTGTCTGTGCAAATACCTCCTCTGTATATGCAGAGCTCTGTGCCCCTGCCATTCTGCAGCTGCCCGCAATGGGCTGGGACAGGGTTTGTGCTCCCATTGAGCTGTAAACACAGGGTATTGAAATGAGCCTCCATGAGGGATCAGCACTGGGAAGGAGAAAACTCCTCTATTGTCTATAGCCAGCCCTTGCCACAGGATGTTACCATTCTCCATATATAGGGAAACTGAGGTAGGCAAAGCAATATGGTTTGCTCAAAGTCACCCACTGCGGTGGCTCAGCCAGGAGGATGGCCACAACAAGGGACAGTAAGGAGGAGCAGAGCAAGGCTGTGGGCTGAGCCAGGGCACATGGCACGAAGAGGGAACAGGTATCGCTTAGCCCAGATGAAGCAAACTGGCAGCAATGTGATTTTTTTCTCTATAAATATATCTGAAGGGTAAACATTAGGGAGGGGAAAAAAGCTATTTAAGCTGAAGGACAATGGAGGTGCAAGAAAACATCCATATTAATGTTTGAAGAAGCCAAAGAGGGGGTAATGGAGAGAAGGAAGGGAGAGACACAGCGCGAGGGAAAGACAAGGGAGATGCAGGCTGTGCCCACTGCATCCGGACAAGGCACAGAGCTGGGGATCTGCACTTCCACTGCACAAGGCTTAACAGCGAGGCAAAATGAGACAGGTGGGAGATGGAAGGGCTGGCTGCTGTTCCAGCACAATTGTGAGTCGCACAGAAGCTGATCCCTCCTGCCCTCATCCTGCAAGCTTTTCAGGCAGGTGCCACGGAGAGCCACGATGCCACAGGGTTGTGCAGGGCCCCCCAGAATGCCACCACACAGGGCTCTCGTGCTCTGCTGCCCACTGGGTTCAGTGCACAGCATTTCCTCCGCCGCCTCCTGGGAGCAGCGGGATTTCCATCGCCATTAAAAACAAGCCTTTGTTATTAGCCCCGTGAATTATTTATTCCATCATAATTAATGCAGGACTGTTAACAGCCATGGCAGAGCTCCCCGGCTCGCCTGTCTGCAAACACTGCTCTGCTTCTGCTCACCACTTTGGCATTAAATATGCATCGGGACTGATAAATGGCTCCAGTGCAGAGCAGTCCCACAGACAAAGCAAAGCACCCGGAGCACAGATTCCTCCCTGGGGAAGGACCACACCGGGCATCTCCTGGCAGAACGGGCTCGCCCGATCCCCTACCTCTGAACCAGACACCTGCCAGTCCCCCAGGGGCACTCCCATGGGCACAAAGAGAGGGATGGACTGGTCTCTTTAGCGGCTTCATGCCCAGATGCTTGTGGAGAAGAGGGAGATGGGCAGTAGCTCACCTAATTAATAAAAAGAAAAGAAAATAGATAAATGCTCTGGAGCTGCTGAGCTCTTCTGTTCCTTTGTGAGCCCAGTCTCTGGAAGAAGAAATAAAGCAGTATAATAAAGTGCCATGCTGCCTCAAACTCATGATTTCTGTAGGTAGAGAGCTGTGCTGGGAATGCCTGGGGGGCAGGACCTCCTGAGGACAGGTGATACGGGATGGCTATGACTCCCCATCACACACACAAAAAGAAACAACTGATCCCAGGCTAAGTGCCACAAAGCAGCCTGATAGAGAGCCACACCTGGGAAGGCTTCACTCCCTCCCACCAGCTGCACCCCTCCATCCCACTGCAGCCTCCAGAATAAGGCCTGAGTCCCCATCCTATTATTCTCTGCTGTCTCCTTCCCCACAGCCACTGCTCTCTTGGTTGGCAGTGGCTTGAGAGAAAGGCAGCCCTCAGCTGAAGTCTGTCTGAAATCCAGACTGTGCAGCAGATGGATCAGATCAAGAGATGTGATGCAGCCCAGCTCCGTGAGGTCACCCCGAGCAGCCCCATGAGGGCCCAGAACAGCGTCCCTACCTTGGGAAGGGGTAAAGCCAGGCTGAGCTCTGGTGAAAGCAGGCATTGTTGCAGAAGAGGAGATGGGCTGATGCTGAGATGGAGTTCTGAATGAGATGCTGAAAGTAGGGCTGGTGGTGCTGCTCCTTCCTAGCACTTGGATTTAAAACAAGGAGATAAAAGAGGAAGCATTAGCCAGGTATTGTCTGGCTGATCCTGGCCCGGAACTAAAGTGCATTTAAAGTGACCCTTCTCAAAGCCTCATCTCTCCCATTTGATGTTTCTCTGATTCAAGGATCTTTTTGCCTGCAACATCTATTTCTCTGTCAACAGCACTCAGAGCATCTCTCTTGCTATCTTTAGTCTTGG